TAACTAAAAGATTCTGTTAAATTCTTGTTTTTTACTTTCAATGCACAGCGGTCGTGTCAGTCAGCTGTCGTTCACTGACTACCCAGCACCAGGGTCATCTCCCAGACGACTGCCATCTTGTGCAGCTGTGTTATACAGCTTTCAATTTTAAGTGATGTTGATAGCAAGCACTGCACATACGTTCAAAACTATCACTCTTTTAAAACTGTGCTATCTACAGAGATGGCTGGTAAATTGGTTTTGTGATGAAACAATTCGTCTGTTTCCATACTGCAGAAGCAAAAGATCAAAGGAAGTAAACACTTACTCGCTCTGTTTCTATGGTAACGTAAAAATCGAAAACAATTTTCTCCGACAAAGGTTCCCGATGACATAAAAATGATTTGTACTAAAGAATTAAAATTGTTTTGATGGAACTAAGATACCAAAAACAATATAGATTTTATGGATTTTAACAATTTTCATGAGATCAGCTGTGCAGGAGACTTTTCCTGACTATGAACTGCTAGACTACATCGATGCGCATGCAGCGGCSCTGCACCATAATTGCTTATAAGGAAAATGAACTAGTAGGCGAAATTTGTGTTATTAAAACAGCAGGAGTGCAGTTATGTCAGCTCAAATATTAGCTCAATATGTTTCATACGTGCCCATTTTGAATTTGTTTTGTAGAATGCGTGCAGACGACTTCTCATTTATTCATCTTTGACAGGTCCTTCATTTTGTTCCAAAGCCCGGCAAAGCCACGCATCCAGAAAAAAAGGATTAGAAAAAAGTCTTTTTATATCACTTTTAATGATTTTCACTCACAAACTCGGTTCAAAATGGTTTCTTTAAAAGAGTTTTACTCTAAGAGTCCTAAGAAGCAATATTTCTTTTCGTGCAAGTTCCTAGAGTTTTAACACATTCCAGGTAATCTCACACCTAAGAATGAATTCAACTCGCTGACAAACATTGAACACACGGACAATCGCATGCACTACACGTTAAATCTAAAATACAATTTTTGTCAACAAATGTATATGAAAAAAACCTTGTCTTTCATAAAAAGTGTCCCTATGTCACTGGAAAAGTATCTTAGCCGAATGCCAAATGTTTACAATCTTGACACTGAAAACTGTCAAGGGAAATACGAGTCTTGAAATGAAAGTGTTAAAGGGACTTGAACGAACAGAATAGAAGCCGAAACTAATATAGGAGCCTCAGATGTAAAGTTTATTTTCTCTYATTTCATAGGACTTGATTACAGGAAGACTTTCTTTCTGCAGACGGTATTGAGTAATCTTAGAAACGAGACGACAGGTCATCCAGTAAGGATCATGCAGCCATTACACATAACGATATTAACTCATTCACAAAGATCACGTATTCGCTTAGTGTTGCCGCTTCAGTAATATTTGCTACTCGGTCTAATGGAGGAGCAGGAGACTCACTATCTTGTTAGTTGTGTTCTAGACGCACTMCGATTCAATCCAGAAGTGAACTCGATCCTACCCGCTTTGTCAATAACCTGCGTTTGGTATTGCTGAATTTAATGAATCTTTTTCAGCTTTTCTTTGCTATTTGTTCTCATTTCTTTTCCTCGTTATTTGTCGTTCTTTTTTCGGGCTGTTAATATTCTTTATTTTTTTGTGCTAATGGGCATTTTATAATCCTTTGCTTCCTTCCTTAACCCGTTTTGTTTTRTTTTGCTATAATAATTTCATCCACGGAAGCTCGGCGATTTTGAGGGRGCAAGGTTCCGCTCTCACCAGGCTCTCCCACACAAATGCCCCKGGCTGTTCCCAGGGGTCATTTCTTCGTTTCGCCTTCCTTTCAAACATAGTTACTAGTGATGTTTCAAACTCGCTAAACACGTCAACTACTAAACCATGTTGTCAGCAAGGGTCTCTTAATCAAAACGAAAGAGAACAAATATAATTTTATAATTCAAAATAAGCTCTTTGCCAACAAGATCCCCGAACTCGGTGTTCTTCGGTGACAGGGAATTACTCAGATGCTCAAAATGTCACATAAGATGCGGCCAATATAGAAATTAAAAAAGAGATGCAGAAACTATGTAGTGACAGAAAGCTACTTAATTCTCCGCTCTCTGCAATTAAGTCAACCGCATCACAAATGCAACATATTCTGTCGAATGAATCAAGCCCAAAATTAASATTTTACAGAGTAAGAAAATTCAAATTTATTGTCTTCTGAAAGACACATACTACATGAATTTTCCCTGGAAAATGAAGGCAGAAAATGCAGTGGCCAAGTTGTGTACTCAACAATCGTTGGACAATCAGGAGCACAATGTTGCAAGCGTGAAGSTAGACATGCGTAGGGATGGCACTTTGCAGGATATCTGCTCTGACGCGCGTAACCGTTGTGAGTTTACGCTTGGCGTGTGTCAAATTCTCAATGACCGTAACGCGCTCAGAAGGAATAAGGTGTGACGGTCGTTAGGACACTAGAATGCTCGTCTTTTTGTTTGATTTGAAAACACGCCTTTTGGACAAGAAAGCATCACTATTAGATTTAACTGTAATGAATTGAAAATTATAAAAACTACACCTTAGTCATTTTTTTCTCATGTGCATCTTTGCAAACCTTTTCATCCATATTAGAATATTATTTTTATGTGGTGCTACCCTGCGAGCAGAGGAATTTTTCCACCCCCTTCCACGAAGAAAAGGAAAATAATGATATTCTTCTTAGGAGGGTTTGGAAAAATTCCTCTGCTTACATGGTATTGAGGTGCAAAATATTTGTCCTGTTTTTGCCATTAGATTCACGCAGATACAGTGAATAGATTTTTGCAACATGACTGTTGTGTTTATTCATCAACCGCGAAACTGACTTGTGTCACGCTAGCATCATGTGATGATCACACACACGTGAATATCATTCGTGCGTTACGGGTTAATAATGGCAATAATACATAAGTAGATCATGTTATAGAGAATAGTTATTTATAACTATAAAATATTCAGTTTCACAAGTGTATACTACTCTAGCTGAATTTCTTTCGAATTTTAGCTACAGTCAAGTATCCGTGTTTCAATGGCCCACGATTGCTCGATGGGTGCAGTTGACGGACGCTACTACTTGAGAACTCAACAGTGCGTCAGAGCGATCAATACCAGCTTTTGARTCGCTGACGTCAACCTCTTCACATGCAAAGTGATTCGTTTCAAYATCAAGAACTGTACTGAAAGTGGTCTGTGTATTGCTTGTCAATCTATGTATCGACTCCATGTAAGTTTTCTCTGACGCTATCTGCGATGAAATGACGTCGGTTATGTTTTCCAATACTGAAAGGGGTGTCCACATGCACCCACCCACTCGACACCCACCSGCCTACCCACCCCTGGACCWGCAATTTGCATGTATTTCACTATASCAGTGTGCATTGCGATATAATGGTTAAAACTGACATATTTCAGCTGGATACATATTTTTAGTTTAATTTGATGGTAAGCGTGTACTTCGGTTTAGGAACGTCAGTGCGTGACTTAACACACCATATTGTGTGACACATGTACTCTCGTGTGGGTGGCTGAAACCAGTTTCCTTGGCATGATTATTACATGTTAGCATAACGTAACGTGAAATTTGCGTCACAGCTGAAACCAATGCAAGCTTCACAAGTTTCAGCGAACAAGAACGCATTGTTATTTTAATACCATTCTAAAAACGTAATAGTGTGACAAAACAGTTTCTTGTTCCCGTGACATCCACGTAATACTCTTGTGACATGTGGGTCATCAACAACGTCAACAAACTATCATCATCATCAATTGTCACATGCCTTCTTACGATGGTGGCTAAAATAGTACGRCAATAAAGACGTTACGAGAGATAATACACACTTTTTGATGATTGTGATAACTAAGGTAGACTCGTACCCAGTCCGTAACTCTGGCGCGCCCAAAGGATCAAGGGAAGTATAGTTCGGACTTCCCTTGATGCAACGCGACCCGTAAAACGAGCAAGAGAAACGACTGGGTACGAGTCTGTATTTAAAATAAAAACAGTTGTAGTCTTTGTTTTCTATATTAAAAGAAAGGAAAGATTGAAAACGTGTAATAGCTAAATCATTAAACACTCTCTCTATAACCTTAACCACGTTTTATTCCATTGCAAAAACTACTTTTCTATAAAAATGTACAAAATATACAAACGTRCGGTCATTCGCGAGATATCCAGATAAAATCCATACTTCCGCGCGCTCAGTGMGGTTTAACCCTCTTTATGGGAAATTGTCGGGTTCTGATGTTGTCTCCTCGCAGCCTTCCTTATTGTCGAGCTTCCTGTCCCAGTCCTGTCTGTCGGGGGACAGGGAGCCCGCCACTAAGAACGGGTGCGAGGAGACTAGTTATGATGGTACCGTCAATAAATCAACTTCACCACATACCATGACACTCGCTGCTATCGAGATGGCTGTAAACACAAGTATTCATTAAGATTTTATYATCAATTATCTATTTACATCTGATAGAAATTTTAATTGAGAAAAGGTCCGTGCAAAAAATAGAATTTACACCAAATCAGATTTACACCAAATCAGCGGGGTAGCGTTTGCCGTGCACACACACACGGGCGGGCTTTTGGCGGTTAATTAYTGAACTTTGCGAAATTTCTGTATTCATAAGTCATAAATTCATCTTACAAATAAAGTTTATCAAAGAAAACAATGTTGTGAGATGATTTTGTATTTCCAACATTTTTCCCGCAAATGTTTTGCAGAGTTATCAAGGCCATACAGAATCGTGAGTACCGTCAACTCTCGCCTTACGGACAGCCCGCTACAACGGACACCTCGATATTGCGGACAGTAAAATACTGMATCCCMGGCGAAAAATACAAAGAAATGACTGAAAGTAACTCCCGTTAAAATGGACTCTCGCTACTGCGGACACTAAATTACGGTCCGAGAGTGTCCGTCATAGTAAGAGTTGACTGTACWGTACAMAATTACCACGATACGCCTCTGAYGKCATTGACTAACTCTACTACTCCTTCATTGACRATCCASCAACCGTGATCTCTAGACTGATCAGCTTGGCGATCACAAAAATGATCTCTATTCAAATCTTTACCCTCAATTATTGGTCAATGCAATAAGTCATAAATAAATGYGTTCATCAAAGATATGCAGTAAGTTCAAATGACATCCATGTTTCGTTCATTGAGGAAATACGATTCTTCTCCAAGCAGTCCAAGCTGCTTGTAGCCAGTTGTAGTCCTCATACACTTTAGGTTGTATTTCAGCATCAATACGAGTCCAGCTAAGGCGGCAATTATGGCAATTATACCGAATGTCAAGGCGATTGAGTTCCCTTTCGACGGCGAACCGATTTTTTCCTATGATCGATGGAATGTCAATTATTAAACCATGGTTAATTTAAAGCCTATTTCTATCTCCACAAGATGTAAGAGTCAAATTTAAGTGGATAAATAAAGACAAAGAAACTAGAATGCGACCATCCACTTTCATGCTTAGAGGGGGAAGCGAATTCATAATCTACAGAAAGTTTCCAACATCATCTTTCACCATCATTGCAAGCAGCATAGTAATCGGCTCTTATAGCAAATAAAATTTGGAATCATACCTTTAAACTTATATATTCCACTTACTTTATAAACAATGTCGTCCTGAGCAAGCTGGCCTTGTGTAGTATGTTCATTTTGTTCTGTTACCGCAGTCGATTTCATTTTTGCCATAAGTTGTTCTGTTGCCATAAGTTGTTCTGTTGCGTCAGGTTGTTCTGTTGCGTCAGGTTGTTCTGTTGCGTCAGGTTGTTCTGTTGCGTCAGGTTGTTCTGTTGCGTCAGGTTGTTCTGTTGCGTCAGGTTGTTCTGTTGCGTCAGGTTGTTCTGTTGCGTCAGGTTGTTCTGTTGCGTCAGGTTGTTCTGTTGCGTCAGGTTGTTCTGTTGCGTCAGGTTGTTCTGTTGCGTCAGGTTGTTCTGTTGCGTCAGGTTGTTCTGTTGCGT